TTGATTAAAAGAAAAGATTTAAACTTAGGAAATTAGGTAATAACAAATCATTAGTTTATTCCCCCTAACTCTTATTTACACTTGAGTGTCCAAACCTTTTGTGCCAGTGGCCAAAACTGTTGTGTCAAAAGTATTCAGGGGCCAAAAGAAAAAAAAACATAATACAGACAAAACATTTTTTTTTTGTATTTTCATAAAGTGCCCTTTTTTTTCGTTTTGCTTTTTTACCCGCTCAACAAAGTATGAGCATGCAAAAATTTTCAACGTTCAACTTAGCGGGATTGCTTCCAGCCTATCCATTTTAACCAATTCAAAACAATGGTAATCAGGAACACCGGCACCACGAAGCTGGTTATCAACTCACTAACTGAATCCAGCATTGGCTGATCATGATCCTGTGAATGCCAGGTATGAAAGGGCCTTTCAAGGCAGCAGACCAATCACAACCATGAGGGCAGAAGGAGTGCGCCGTATTTCTCCTGAGAGGAATAAAAAATTCATCTTATAGAACTCCAAAGACAAAAAAAATAAATAAAAAAATCATAGCAGAATGAAAGAGAATCCAAATGTCTTGACAAAAGATTGTGAAATGCATAAATGTGCAACTTATGAGTTTCATTTAATACCGACCACACCCCAATCAATATACTGTATATTAATCATCTGCCCCTCAGGAGTGAAGTGGGCTTCAGAGCAGATAAAAACACAAAATCATTTCATCTGATTATTTGTTCTTTTTGAGTCAGTAATGTTTGGGCTATAATTAAGCTAGAGGCTGATGACATGATCGCATCATATTAATACAAGAAGTGACAAGTCTGAGTGAAATCATCCCTATTTTTCAGTTGTGTCAGAACTCAGCGGGACAAATGGTAAAAATCTAATCTGCTTTGAAATGGTAAAAGTCCTCAAACGCAGCCCTAAATGTACTGAAATACCTCAATGTCTTTCCTACTTAACTTAAACCGTGTAGCATTTTTATTTCAGTCTCATAAAGAAGGTAGAGTTACATTTCCCAGATTACTTAATAGCTCTCCAGCCTAACTTCTAACTTTTGTTTTTAAAAAGAAAAACGACTCAGACAAGTTCTGCTCTTTGCAAGATTTGAGGAACAATAATGACTCTTTGTGGCAGGTTTGGCAATAATAGTTATCACAGTACAAACATGTTTTTAAGTGATTTTTTTTTCTCTTTTCTGTAACAACTCACAATAAGCACTCACACTGTATAATAAACCAACTCCGGGGTGTCTTTGCCACCCTGCTCACATCATATACATACTGTGCTATTAGGACATATAGTTTACATCTGAAGTATAGAGTCACTTTATATTTGGGGTCTTACACTTTTTATTAATTTAAAAACAAATATAACATCAATTGAAAGTACTTATTTACTAAGTCAGTAGTTCATTAATATTCTGACATCCCATTTGCCAATAATCAGCATTGCTTCTATGATAACAGTAGCAGCTGCTGTGGGATTTTGACAGTTTTTTACAGGTTTTAAAAGGTTGGTATGTCAAAAATAATTAAAAATAAAAATTAATTAAAAACTAACTATTTAAATTTAAAAAAAAAATTCACTTTGTTTCATGCTTTTTTGGTTTTCAGGTTCTTTTATTGTGATGTTATTTTGTTCAAGTTATTTTCCCTCTGATTTAAATCGGTTCTTCAAATAAAGGGTTTCTGGGCAGAGGGTTTTCTAGGATTCAGATAAATCCTGAAAGCTAGCCTGGCCCGTAACATGTCTGCTGTTCAGAGTACATTACCATGGTAACTGGCCATGCTAACAACGAATCCAGCTTTGTGGTACTGGAAAGTCAGGATTAAACCTCAAGTCGTCAATCTACCCAAATAATCCTGCTACATGGTACAGACCTCTGGTGTCCTTTGATCGGTGCTTTGCAGAGAACATATTGACCTGCTGCAGCTGCATTTATGCTCTGAGGAAAGAGGGTCACTAATGCAGCCCAAGATTTAAAAAAAGATAAGTTATCAAAACAGATATCAGATAAGAGACTATAGCCTTTATATTGACACGGTCTATGTGGTGATACAATTTAAGCTTTGCATAAACCAGAAGTTTTTATCTTTTAATTGCTTTTACAGTTATCTACAGTGGTTTGTTAATCGACGTTCCTGTGTAACATTGGGACATTTTTGATTCAGGGCGATCCTTTTATAAATATTTAATTAAAAGAAAAACATATTGATAATTATTGGATCAGCATAAGAAAAAGGAGGTATTATCTGGGTCCAGATCACCCAGCTCTATTGGATCCTCACTCCAAACAGTGTGAAAACTTCACAGCTCCCACAATCTTCAAAAAGCTAAATGTAGAAAGAATGTAGAAAGAGATGCACAATGGTATTTTATTTTATTTTCAATCAGCTTTTTTATTTTATAGGCAATCCATTTCTGCAAGTGTTTATTGTGGGTTGAAAAACATGCCCTGTTCTTAAGAGTTTGGTTTGGAAGTCACTTATCAGGTCTTCCAGTGGCTGCTTTGTGTTCACAGTCTTACTTTTATGGGATTGTGATCCAAAAGTTTACTGCAGTAATGTAATAAAAGAAGATAAACATAGCACCATGCTACGATGTGAAACAGCTTCAATACAACCAGCTCCTATTATGGTCTTGGACCAGAACTATTAAAACCGAGAACCAGCAGAAAAGCTGAGGTCAGAACAACATCTTTTTGATATTATAGGATGTATATGATATATTAAATGGCCAATGTCATTTAGTGAACTTATTTCCACTTCTGTCCACACCAGAAACTTCCTATTGGTGTTTTTCATTTTCACACACAGAATTAAGCAAATGTACAATGAAAACAAATAACAACCCCACACCTATTCATGTTAGTAGGACTTCTAACATGCAGGAGCTTATATGTAGAGATGCAGATACATATAATCACAGCTTTAACCTGTGATCGTGTGGTCAAATACTGACTTATTTTTTCTTAAGCATTGAATTCATCAAAGACAAGAACAGCCACTGTTTTCTGTCTACAAATGCACTGACCAATGGAAGTTAATTTGATGCTCTTTGTGAGTTATTGTCCTGAGAATCTTAGGAAAAACGATCACAACCATTCAAAGCTAGCAGCTTAACACAAAAACAGAAGCCAAATCATATCCAAATCCACATATTACAACCTGTTATAGAACAACAGCAAGTTGATATTAGATTTGCAATTAGACGAGCTATCTGTTTAGGTCAAACCTGCAATAAGCAGCTTAGCAGAGCTGCCACTTCTTGATAAAAGTGGCTTTATCACTGTTACCATAATAAAAGCACTGAGTCGAAATAAAATGTTATATTTTGAAGGATGGGATGCATTTCGGATGACCTAAACTTATCTTTTGCTGTTACTAACATATACATTTAAAAACTGGATTGTGAGGGAAGAGCAGATGCAGAAAGACTCAGGCTCACTGATCTGTTTTCAGCTTTATTGTGCAAACGCTTGCAACAAACTAGCGTTTCAACACCATAGTGTCTTCATCATAGTCACCAGTGAACACAGCAAACACAGAGGAGCAATGAGTTATACTGCTGACAGTAAAACAAAAGAAGCACATAACTGGTAAAAATCTCCATGTACACATGAGCATCAGTTAGTAGATGTGAAACTCCTTTAACGGCATCATTTATATCAATATTTGGCGAGTCTGCAGCTGCAGATATTTTTCTATCTAATAATGCGCTTCGCAACATCAGATAATAGGAAGATTTTACTTTCTGAAATCAATTAAGCCATTTTTCTCCTCAGTCTGCACACATTGATAACATATGGTGCACAATCTAAACAAAAATAAAATTGCTAATAAATCAAACAAACATTAACAACTGTCTCTTTGAACCCCAGTCGGCCTCGGCAGATGGCCGCTCACACTGAGCCTGATTCTGCTGGAGGTTTCTTCCTGTTAAAAGCGAGTTTTTCCTCTCCACTGTCGTTACAAGCACGCTTAGTGTGAGGGATTGCATCCCAGTCAATGAGTCGATGTAATCAACTGGTTTTCCTTAGATAGAAAACTGTGAATCAATTTGAATGTATGATCTGGTGAACTGTAACGTGCCATGAGATGACATGTGTTGTGAATTGGCGCTATAGAAATAAACTTAATTGAATTGAATATTGGCCCAACATATAGGCTAGCCAATGTATAGGCATCCCTAATCATTACACACCATCAGTGCCTGTGTGTGCAATACTGAAATCACCCAGGATTTATTTAGGAAATGCAATTTTCATAACTGGTTTGCACACCAGTTAAACAATTTTCTAGAATATATATTTCTAGATGTTCCAACAGCATGCAGGCTTTATATGGGAAAGCTGGGGGGGAAAGTCATCTTTTAACACACTGCTAGTTTAGATACATCTTTAAACCTAAAACACCTGATCTAGGTATCATCTAAAAGGTCTGTTTCAAAGTTATACTAACAGACCTAATGAGAGGGATGATGCTTACCTTCCTCTGGCTATCTGAGCCAAACCTGCACAGTCACTCTGAACAGACCTCTCCTTTTTATGCAGAGCCTCTGACAATCCTCCAGCTCCTTTGATGAACTGATAGAGTTACATTCCCTGATCACTTGTCACCAGTCACTGAGATCTGCAACCTGTTCAACTAGTTTCAACCGAGAGGAATTCGGGAGACTTTCCGGCAGATCTGCCTTTGCAAACTTTCCAGCAATGGTTCCGATGGAGCCTATTCATACCGAACCAACAGGGATGAACAAACGTCTGGAAACAGAACTTAGCTAGCTAACCCAAACTGTTTGGGAGTCAGCCGAGAAAGCATCACCCATCAAACACCATTTTCCTAAACATTTCCAGGAATAAAAGTAGCGACACAAGCAAATATACCAGTATTATATATTACCATAACTATAAATAAAGGCTTAAAGTCGGCGTACTGGTTCTTTAGAGGGCTAGCATCAAAGTTACACTCATGCTTAGACCAGCAGTTTTGCTTGCGTACCTTTCTCTCCAACGGTCAAAGTAGAGGAAACACCAACTTTTAGAGCTTCGGAGCCTTAAAAAATGATCCCCCGACACGTCTGGGCGCTGTCTCGGACACGCTGTGAAGTTTACCGTTCACGGAGAGCCGCTGCTACAGGGGGAATGTGGAGTTTTTGTCCACGCTAGTAAACTCCGGGAACCTGTTGCTGACAGCTCTGAGTGTCACACCAACAACATGGCTGACGCTCTGCTCACCGGAGGCTGCGGGGCCTCAGTTAACGAGCGACCGTCCTGAGTGGGAGGAGAGACGGAGAGCAAGACAGGGAGGGAGGGCACCGGCTGGAGCCAGAGGGGATGAACAAACTCACATACAGATTAATCAATAAAAAAAATTTTAGGGATGAAAATAAAAGTCTGGAAAACTATAAATAATGCGATTAAATAATTACATGAATAAAGTTTAATTCGATAAACCACAAACTTATTTATAAAGATATTTATCAATGTTATCGTTAAAGTAATAAATTTAAAAAAATATGTCAATAACACCTGTGATTATTTCCCCCTTCCCCCCCCCCCCCAATTTGTACTGCAAATCAGTGATTTGAATGTTATGTACTTTGCAGTATTCAGAGGCGTAGCCAGAACATGTTTGTAAGGGTGGCCATGCAATAAGCAATGTACACTGAGGGGGGGAAAGATGATAGGCACCAGAACCTCAGGGTCAATCTACACTATTGCAACAGGAAAATTAACGAGCATAACATCAACATTTTCTAAATAAAGACAAACTATACTTTCCCACAGCCTTTGCTAACAAATAAAAACATATATTTACACATCCGTGCTTTCTAGATAACAGGTATAGTGGGTACAATTCTTTCAGGTTTGAGTTTTGGGCGAACATCTCTTCCTTTGTCGTTACTTACCTACTTTTATCAACAATTATTCTGCATAAAATTGATATTTACAAGTACTAATATATACACAAATTGATTATTACGTTTTTATTAAAATAGTTATTTATCTATGCTTTCACTAAAGACTCCTAGATGACTTTGAGAGACACGTCATTTTCTCTTTACCCCCTATAATACAAAATCTAGTTCTAAAAAAAGCATGAATTATCATCTTTAATTTTAGTATATTGATGTGCATAATTAACCAGATTGTTTTTGTTGTCAAGTAATTGTTAATATATGAAAAATTAAAATGTTTATAATATTCCACTTAAGAGTATTACTGCTGCTACCATCTTTATTAGAGGTGGAAAAATGGTAGGGGTTGCCCCCAACTAGCTCCTCCCCTGGCAGTGTTATTAAATAGCGTCTGATAACGTGGGATATGACTGCTGTAAATGTATGGTTTGGTTTTTTGTGCACTAGAACAATCAGATCTGATTATTTAAAAGTTGTGCTAAAAATATATACATAATCAGTACATTTCTTTAGAAAAAGTTATAATGTTCATGAAATATGAAACAAGCATGGATACGTGGAGTTTGACCTGGAAAAAAGAGAGGTGTCATACATTGCTTTAACGTCTTTATGTGTGATTCAGAAAGCGAATACATTTTAGAGTAAACTCTTTCTGAAAATATGTTTTTTACAAATATGACATTTTGAGAGGTTTTTCTCAGAGAATTTAAGATTCCAGCTGGCCTGGAGATTATCTATAATCTATAATCTTTAGGCTGTGTCCACAATGCTTTTAAAGACAGAAACAACTCTGAAAGAGAATCAGCCTAAAAAAATAAATAGAAGAGGAAAGCAACGCCTTTATCACTTGGAAGAAAATAATAATTAAGTGTATAAAAAGGGTTATCTCTAAAACATCTGTTGTGTAACAAACGCCTGATGAAAACAGAAAACAAGGCTCAACAGAGACCAGATTGACAATGAGTAAGTGCAGAGATAGACATATTAGCTAATCTTAACTGAAAATCAATACAGTGTGATGCAAAATAACTATCAATATGTTCATTTATTGCAGAAAAGTAAAAAAAAATCAATCACAAATTAATAGATTACATTTTAAATGTACAATAAGCAAAGATTTTAATAATCTATTTTACATTTCATTAGTGCTTTGCTGGCAAAGCTGGCTCTAATCGGGCTTCAATTGTGCTCAGGTACAATCTAGGACCAACCCTTTTTGATAGCTTTTGTCTAATCAAGACTTTATGTGAGAAACGTTTATAAACTGTGGAATCGTTTTTACTCAAGGCTAGTTCATACCTGTCAAGTTTTGGATTTGAAAATCAGGGACATTTTATGACCTCTACTGTGATCCATCTAACTATTTTCAAACAAGCATTATTAATTAGTTTGGAATAAAATACACATCTCGCAAATGTTTTGACTATAACAAATATTGAGGAATCACCTGATATCAAATTTTCATTCCTTAATCGGTAAAACTCCCTGCATGAATTATAAAATAAAGCTATTTATATGCATAAATCAAGCAGAACACTATGGCGATAGCCATACTGCTACACTTGTGAAAGTAAAATCTGTTGGGCTCTTTTTGGCATCAAGACAATTATTCTTATTGCCACAGTGCCAGACAGGACACTGTTAAAAAAAAAAAAAAAAAATGCTGTTCCTACACTTCGTCCCAGTATTAGACCAACCTGTTGCCTTTCCCCAATTATTTATCATTCTTTGCTTTTTTTCTCTCCATCCCTGTACATGGGACCTTTACATGGCCTTTTTTAAATATAGCAGTCTTTCTACATTCTGGTCAGTATGAGAATGATGGCATACATTATGAAATGCAGTATTGCCCCACTTTGAAATGATTTACACATTTCAGATACATTCCTAGGTTTAGGCCTACATGTTTTAAGTTCCACATATCACAGCCATACCGAAAACAAAAACAAATGAAACCTGAAACGTGTATGGTTTCAAAATTAAATCAGCAAAACCACACATGAAACTTTAATTCAAATTATAACAGATGCATCACAAAAGTGCAGTAGTGTCATATCAGTTAAAGTGAGCGCATTTCGATTTCTAAAAAGAAGAGGACACCTGCCTCACCATGACACTGTGTACCTACACTATAATCAAAGTTTACTGAGATACCTTCTAGTTTTTAGATATGTAATCAAAGCCTCCTCTGTACCATTATAAAATAAAGTTGAAGAACAAAATAAAGTCTTTAGACTATAGACTTCTTGATTAAAATTTATTAAACAGGGTTTATTGCACGTAAGATAACATTTATGCAAATGTAAATGGCTCAGAAGTATAATTAAGAAATAAAATAAGATTCTGGAATTAAATAATTAATAATTAATGCTATTCTGTATCAGAAAATCAATCTGCAGTTTTAGGGACAAGACTTTCCCCCCAGTTATTCATGTATTACTAATAGCTGTAATATATATATATTTAAAAAAAAATGCAGATTTGATGTCGCTTTGGCGCCCTCTCTGATATAGCAGCGCCCATATATGCCCCTTTGCTCCACAGATTCTTATAATATAATAATACGGTAAATTTACTGGAAACTGCATATATGAGCCAGTGGCGTGAAAGAGGGGTAAAATACCATAGTTTTCAGTTCAAAAGGGGAGAACTGACCGCTATATATTTACTCTTATTTACTACAATATCCGTTTGTTTACTACGTTATCCATCGTGCATTGCGGCTGCTTTGCGACATTTTACAGCAAATACCGGAAGTAACGTATTGCAGTTTACAACGATGCTCGCTGTTTAGAGAGAAATGTTCAACAAGAAGCCCAGGAGGAACTTTCGGCAGAGAAAGCAAAGCTCTAGTGAGGAGGAGGAGCAGCAGAAGAACGGCAGTGAAGGAGATGAAGCCAAAGAGACTCCACCGGTGATAAACAAGCCTCTCAAAGCGGCGCAGAGCCGTGGCATCTCCTGCAGCTCCAAGCGGGAAGCGACGCCTCCGAAGGCGGACAGCAGTGATGGAGAATCTGGGGTCGAAACACTGGAAGTGACGGTGGACAGAACAGATGGAGAAAATGAAGGAAATAAGACGAAAAGCTCCATCCTTAGTTTCACAGACGATAAAGAAGGTGGGTAAATAAATGCGGATCGTCATGACAACGACAAATAACAGCCATTTTTTTTCTCACATTACAAACACAATTTGTAAGGTACGATAAGATAGACTTTATTGATCTCACAGTGAAAATAGAGATTTCACATTAGTTATTGCAGTTATAGTGCCGTATATTAAAGTCTGATGGCAGCAGGGATGAATGACCTGCAGTAGGGCTCCTTTTTAAACAGGATGTAAAAGTATTTCACTAAAGGAGATGCTCAGCTCCTCTACAGTCTGGTGCAAGGGGGGAAAGGTTTTGTCCATGATGGATGATTGAAGCTTGGTCAGCACCCTCCTCTCAGCCACTTCCTCCATGGAGTCCAGAGTGCAGCCTTGGTTCAGAAACAGCCTTTCTCTCAGCTTATTCAGTCTCTCTCTGTCCCGCTCTGCGCTGCCAGGGGCCCAGCAGACGACAGCGTAGAGGAAGGCTGAGGCCACCACTACACTCATAGAAGGTTTTAAGCAGGGGCCTCCTCCCTCCAAAGGATCTCGGCTTCCTTAGTAGGTGGAGGTGGCTCTGGCCCTTCTAATACAGGGCATCAGTTCTAGGAGTCCAGTCCAGTTTATTATTGACGTGAACACCCAGGTATTTGGAACTCTCCACAGTTTCTATGTCCTGCCCCTGAATGTTCACGGGGGAGGGAGGTGGGGGTCTTCTCCTGAAGTTGAGCACCGTCTCCACGGTCTTATTGGTGTTGAGACACAGGAAGTTCTTCTCACACCAGTCCACAAAGTAAATGATGACCGATCAATACTCTCGTTCCCCTCAGAACCACAGCCTACAATGGCGGAGTCTGGTGGTCTCCAGGTGTTTTATTTTGTTGAGTTTTTATGCATTAGATCAATATCTGCATTTTAAATACACTTCCAGACTTCCAAGATCTCCAGCGTTAGTTTTCCATACATAGCAGATAAAAAGTTATATTCTTGCAACGTCCCTATTCTTGCAAATGAAGAAAGATGGCAAGGGGTTAAGAAAGCCATCTTTGTTAACCTGGAAAAATCACCTCTGGTCTTAGACATAACATTTCACCCACCTACAAAGCACTTTTAGGAAGATTACCCAGAAAATTCATGTCCTACCCTCCACCTGACTCACACTTCAATGACGCCTATGACCAAAACCACTCTGAGGAGGGAGTTGACGACCTATCAGGACCCCCTAATGACCATGAACACCCCATTGTTGGCCAATCCAACAATGGCGTAAGGAATTCAGACCTGGGCTGATGTGCTCTACCTACTTGCATCTAGTGAGAACATGGACAGCAGCATTTTGGATCAGCTGTCTGATGGAATTTTTAGGCAAACCTATGAAGACACTGTTGCCATTACCAAATCTACTAAAGATAAATCCATGAATCCGATTTTCTAGATCCTTCTTGGACATAGAAAAATGATATCACTTCCACAGATACATCTGTTATAAGCATCTAACCAGCCAACGCTCTGATTTGTTCATCGTCCCCTGGTGACATTGTGATATAAAGCTATGTATCATCTGGATAGTTAAGGTAACTGTAATCTTGATGTTTTCTATAACCAGAGCTAAAGTGAGGATGTAGGGGTTAAATAGGAAGGGTCCCATAATGGTGCCTTAAGGAACCCCGCATGGGATTTTTCTGGTCTGATTTAAAGTTCCCTATTGACACATAGAAGTTTCTGTCCTTCAGATAGGATTTAAACGAGTTCAGTGCTGTACCAGAAAGGCAAACCCAGTTTTCCAGACACTTGAATAAAATCAAGTGATCAACAGTATCAAATGCTGCACTGATGTCCAATAATACCAGCACTGTGGTTCTTCCACAGTCTGCATTCGTACGGATGTCATTAAACACTATAATCACGGCAATTGCAATACTTTGGTTGGCACGGAAACCTGACTGGAAGACATCAATCAAGGTTAAAATTACTTAGATGTTCCAGACATTGGATGCAGATGGGGCAACACAGACAGATATCTAACTGTTGTACACCGTGCATAGACCAATACCGATCAGGTTTGCGCAGGTCTCGCTCGTCTCGAAGGCACCTATTAACTCACATCACTGAAAACACAATGACTGAAAATCGGAGCGAGCTGTCAGTCATCTTTTAATATAATTAAGTTATATTTAATGTAGAATAACTTGTAACATTGAGGTCAATAAATGCATGCTAGTTTGCTCTCAAGTTTTTACTTTGTTTAGCTGGGCTTCATTTAAAGGGTAAATCAGTCGCCTATATACTTAATATGTTTACAGTAAAACATTTCTCTGGACCGTAGGCTCGTAGGATTTTGAACAATCAAAAATCTCTGTTTTTTGAGGACAGCCTTAAGAGAATGAAGCATATTTAGTCTCAATTGAGCACAAAGTGTAGGTGGAGACTGGTTTAAGCAGCATTACCCAACTATAGATTTTATCAGGGCTAAGAAGAGCAGGAAGACGAGAAGGAACAGGTTTGATTATCCTTCATGGTGAGTTTAGACACTTCCTTTTAAACTCATACATTCCACAGAGCATATATATGATGGAATGTTGCATATAGAGTATTCAGTTGTCATGAAATGTTTTTCTGTTATTTTTCCAATTTAGAAGAAAGAAGCTTCAGAAACAAAAAGCGACAAATATTCTCCTCAAAGCGTTAACTGAAAATAATCAATGTGTTCTTGTTTTTGCAGCAGAGGAATCTACTTTTAAACTGAAGCGGTCCTCTGATAAAGCTGTGGTCTTTCAAGTCAGAAAGAAGGAGACTCTGCCCACGAAGAAAAACCTCAGCAAAGGTAGTTTAATCAAAATGTTTTGTTTTTCTGTCTCCGCTCTTATTTAGATGAACGTGACCATGAAGTAATCTCAGTCCAGATCATTCTCCGGTTTTGACAATTCAAGCATGAATGTTGATGTAATGTAGAGCTGCCCCTCCTCTACCTCTTTCTGTGCACTACCAGTCAGGTGGCATATGTTTACCTGCATAAAAGAAAGAGAAATGTTTAGAAATATCCCCAGTTTCAAAATGCAGTGTGGGAACTAATCCAAACCCATTCTTATTACCGGTAGTAGAAATGGGTTCCTTTTCCCACTCATGTGCATTTTGGATATATCCAAAATGACATTACTCCTTTGTCAAATAAATATTCTGGATGTCTTAAAAGAATTTTAACATCCCCATTTTCCAATTCTTACCGGTCTTGATTTTTAGAATAGAATAGAAAATAGCATTTATTGTCCTACATGGGGAGATTGTGGCGTTACAGCAGCATTACAACAAAAAGTGATCACACAAATGTGCTCCTTAAAATGGTATATAAAATAATAAACAGCTAAATAAGTGGCAGAATTTTATTTCAGATATCTAGAATGAAGAAAACCTTGTAAATATGAAGAGTATTATTTCTAATGTCAAAAATATATGTTAATTAGTAAACATGTCCTAACAAAATGTTCACTGAAAATGTGTAAAGATGTTCGGGTATCTGAACCTTTTTAGTACAATTTTACTTTCTGACATCCTTCACTCCAATCAATCACTCTTACCCGGACAACTCTGTTTAAGGGTTAAAATGAGTTGATGTCATTCTGATAATGAAGGTAAAGCAAAGAGTCTGGAAAATCTTGATTCATCACAAACAAGAAAGCAGCGTAATATTCAGCTTTAATTGAACTTTACAGCATTCATAATGAGGGGCACCTCGTTCGGCTAAGTGTCTATTTCTCTTAATCCTAATACATGCAATTTAAAGAAATGTTACTCCCAAACAGCAGGAAATGTTGACATATTTCATTACATATAATCTGCATGTTTTTGCCAAACCTCTTTTCTTCCAGCATCTGGTGGCAGAGACGGCCCACCGTCTGTTTCTCCTAGACATGATGACAGCAGCGAGGCTTCATCGTGTGCTCAGCGTGATGACGATGATGATGATGATGATGATGATGACGACATCAACAGTAATGCTGATGACAATGACAGTAATGGAGATGATGCCAGATCTACCTCCAGTAACTCCAACTCTGACTCCAGTGTTTCTGTTACTAAACCCAGTATGTCTTCCTTTGTGATGTTGTCCTAGGAAGGTTTCACTGCGGTGTGTTTAACTTGTCTGTTTGATTTGCTTTTGGCTCCACAGTCATCATACCGAAAGCAGAGGAGATTAACGCAGCCAGGAGGAAGCGCCATGCCGCTCGATCCCAGAAGGAGTTCATACCATTGGGTAGAGATGGTCGGAGCTCTGCTGGCAGCACCCCAGATCACTACAGCAGAGGAGATGAAGAGGACAGGCTTGAAGATGATGACGATGATGAGCCTGATGACCATGAGAGAAGAATCGAGTTTGCTCCCCGAATGAGGAGCATTAGGGAGAGGATTGCAGAGAAAATAGGTACTAGATCCAGGAAAAGATGGAGAGGAACCAAATTCTGAGAGCAGCCAAAGATAATTGAGAACTTCAGTAGATAAAATACATTTGGTGAGAGGTGTCTGTCCTCATATGAAAAAAGAACAGAAGGCTGAAGTGATAGAGAAAAGATGGAATTTTGTTTGTTTTATAATGTTTTTGTTTTGTTTTTAATAAAGGAGAAAGCAACAGCAGTCTGTCAGGTACCGATGAGGAGGAGCAGGAGCTTTGGGAGGAGACACAAATCGGAAAGGGAGTCAAGAGACGACCAGGGGAACAGGTAAAAAAGAAAAAGGAACTTTTTTCTATTGTTTCTTGCTCTTTTTTTGCATTTTTAATCTCGCTCTTTGTCCCTTTAATCATATTCATCTCTGGTCTCATCAAGTTTGTTTATTATGAATAATTGGAAAGCAGCATCTATACTTGTATATTTTTCTTCTCAGAGTCCATCTGGCAGCGAATCCAGCAGCTACAGCAGCAGCAGGCGAGAAAGAGCAAGACATAAAAAGATCCCAAAGACCCTTCCTCCTATTTCAGTGTCCATGGTGAAGAAAAGGATCACTGGAAAGTTAGTTTCCCCTGTCGCATTCAATAACCGAGACAATAACCTTCAGGCAATGAAAGCTTGCATGAATTACTACAACTAGCAGCAATTCTGTTCATTTTAACTCGTTTAGTTGAACTAAAGTAGATTCAAAAATTGTATTTCAGAGCTTTAAAATCTATATAACAATTATCTGGAGAAAAAAAAAAAATTTCCTCAGGTAAATATATATCCCAGTTCAATAGTATCCGCATAAGAATAAAAGTTTGACATGAGATAAATGCAGAAAATAATTTAGTATTTCATCTGTTGTATTTACCAAAGTAGTGTAACAGTTCTCTTGTTTAGTGTGCAGAATATTAGACCTTTTTGCTTTTCTTTGACTGTCTGCAGAATGTTTAAAAAAAGTTACCCATGTTGATAGTATTCATTGCAGTATGTGCCTATTTCCATCTGTGCTTTCATGACTCTAGAAAACAGGTATATTCCCCACATGCTGTCCAGCCTAAATCCTGGTAGTTTATAGATCAGTTTATAGATTTGCCTTTACTTTAAAACATGTTACAAAGGTTGTTTCTTTTAGCCAGCTTACTGGCAGTGTTTAGCAACAGGTGAGGGTGGGGGCAGCAGTGTGTTGCAACTATTGGTAGGAAACTGCTGTTGTTTTAAAGTGAAATTTGTAAAGGTTCTGAGACAATATTTGTTAAAGAATGTAGATATAATGAATCATTTACTATTAACTGAGTTTTAGGCTTATTTAATCTAAGAACCTGAAACAACTTTGTAGATATGTTAGATATAACTCAAAAGATTCTGAAATCAGACCAATAAGGAAAAATAGGTTGGTTCTATCAACCTTTACTAACAAACTGTTAAAGAATTGTCATAAAATGACTAATGGAAAGTAAACATGAATTTTCTTAAATGCAAACATAAAAACTTGTATATGTTTTTCTCCCTTATTGGTTGTTTCCCTGGTTACTCCAGACTGGACTCCCTGAAGGAGGTGTACAGAGCGCGGCAGGCGGAGCTGAGAAGGATGGAGGGTGACGCTGAGAATGCTAGAAGCTCATTGGAGCTGCTGGAGGAAAGTTCCTCGGAGGGTCAGCTCAGGTTTTACAGGACAATGATCCTCTACATCCACAATCTGGTCGAATGTCTGCAGGAAAAGGTCAGACTTTATCAAAATATTTTAAATAAGTTATAAAGATAATAATAATAGTCATACATTTTATTTAAATACTTGATTTAATTTCAATTATTATATGCGTTTTAACACTGATTTGTTGCCTTTAGGTTGTTGAGATCAACGCCTTGGAGCTGGAAATGCACACTCTGCTGTCTGACCAGATGGAGGCGCTGTTGTCCCAGAGGCGTGAGAGGATGAAGAGCGAGGCTGACTGCCTGCAGAGGCTCAGCTGTGAGTGGTGGCCCTCTGCAGCCATCTAATACATCCACTGCATGCAGTTTACTTTAGAAAATCAGTGAACATTTAAATGAACTCCATGTCCTTCATAGATAATACAGAGGAGCAAACTGGTAGCTCAGCACAGCAAACTGACCCTCACTGGTAAGTGACTTTCTGTTTAAACTTTTTGAGGCTGTTTTACAAATATTTTTAAACGACTAAAACATTTAGTTCTTGCGTGTAAATTCAGTGAGACGGACTCTGCTGTTAATCTGGATGAAAACGCTGATGTACCTGAAGATTCAGAGCCTTCGGCAGAAGAGGAGCAGCAGCTGCAGATTAGAATAGGTGAAAGACATCACAGTAGAGCGTTTTACACCATACAGATCTTCACATTCATATCCGATTTACTCCTGAGATGATAAACCAAATGAAGATGGACTGTTTTTATGCTCTCTCACCAGCTGATATCCAGTCCAGGTCAAAGGCAGTTTTTGCTGACGTCCAAGAAGACTTCTACGATGTTAAAAAGATCCTGTCTCGATTCGAGGACTGGAGGAGGTCGTACTCTGAGTCCTACCACAACGCTTACATCTCTCTTTGTCTGCCCAAGCTGCTGAACCCCATCATCAGGCATCAGCTGCTGATGTGGAACCCGCTTAAAGTGAGCAGGCATACACGGAGATGCAGAGGCTCGTCTAATCCCGCTGAGTTGTTCATTGTTTGTGTGTTTCTTTGTGTCTCAGGACGTCGGTGCAGAATTTGAAAACTTTCCATGGTTCGAAGCGGTGGAGACATTCTGCCATGGCCACGGCCACGAGGAGCTGGAGGACACAGACAGGCAGACGCTCTCTAGTGTCATAGAAAAAACTCTTCTACCCAAAATGACCAGTAAATATCACACACTCCTCCCTTTGACAAATATATCTACATCCTTTCAGCGTGAATTGATGTCTGTCTGAAGCTCTTGCCTTGCTGTGAAATTTAAGATTAAATTAAATTTAAGTTTAATGCGTGGTCTTTCTTTATATTATTATTTTAACCATGCTTTAAGGCGCCTCGCTTCAGAAATCTTCATCTTTCAGAGACCTGCATCTAAACAAATTTGTTTTATTTTGCCTCAGTTTCCACGGAATATGTGTAATTAAATCACAGTAACTGGTTTAGGTGAAGAACAAACAAACCCTTTGCTTAGAGACTCTATGGCACCAGAGATTTTAGCTCAGACTTTTCTGGTAAACAAAAAACATATATTTTTACAAAATAATGATTCAAAATGTATTTGTTGTTCTCCACATTACTCAAACCACATATTGGGGTTTGATTTTCTGCCTTTAATTGGTTGTAATGTGTTTAAAGAAGGATGAACGTGTAATGTTCAGATTATAAGCTCATTATAATTCTAATTTTAATGTAGCCCGTTTAAAGCACTCGTTCAGACAGACTCGAGGAAATTATGTTGGTTTTCCTTCTAAAGACTTATTTAAAAAGTCATTTAAGGCGGAAGGTTTTAAAGAAAGATGCGAAAAAGGGGATCACAAAAGTTGGTGTCGTCGATCACAAAAGTAAATATGTAGATTTTCCTTAATCCTATCGGCTCTCCAACTGGAAATGCATTTTAGTCAGAGAGTTTACATTTTAGGATATCCTCAGTTCTCAAGGAACTCTTTTCTGAACCTTAGTGAAATTGTTACCAACTTGGCAGATATTTGAGTTTAATAAGCAACATTCTCACCTTAAAATACCTTCAATGTTTATTTTGAGTCTTATAAAGTAAAATGTATATCGTTATTTATCTACAGCTTTTGCAACCACTGTCCACCAGTTCTGTCTGTTCTGTTAATGATCAATATATATTTCGCTTTATAAAACAACCTTTTTCCCCGAGTACTGACGTTTTTCCTAGGACTGACAGCGTTTTTTAATCGAGGATGTCCTAAAATGTTCAACGTAGAGGAGACTAAGATTATATTAGAGTCGATTAACCTTATTGTCCCAAAGGAAATTTGATTTGGGTACAGACTGGGTAAGATTAAACCATGCCATGAAGAACATGTAAACACCATGCAGAGAACTAAACTGAAGGCTAAACTTGGAACTTCTTTTTCCTATAAGGCAAAAATAAAGCGTCTACCAGCACTGCAGTTGATGTTTTCATATATATGTATATATAATATTTTATCAGTCATGTAAAGTAAATGATGTGTCTTCCTGTGTAGGCTATGTGGAGCTGGTGTGGGATCCTTTATCCCACCAACAAACTGTCTGCCTGTCTGCGGTCTGTCACAGGCTGAAGGAAGACTACTCCATCTTTGAAGGGGAGCAGACTAAACCTGTTAAAGTAAAGCTAAGATAATATGGCTTTAGTGTGAGCCATATAACTTTATATTTCTTATGTTTGCATCATAAAACACAAAGTCGGTATAAATCATCAGATTTAAGTGGATTTTCTGTCTCTTACAGGGATTCCTAGAAGCTGTGGTTCGGAGGCTCAGGAGCTTTGTAGATGAAGATGTCTTCATCCCTTTGTATCCAAAAAAGTCTGTTTATTATCTTTCAAGTTTGGCCACATTTAATAAACTCAGTTATCAGATTGGACTGTTTAACAATGACGTATCGTTTTAAATGAGTTTTTGTGTCTTGATTATCTCTATTAAATGGTTGGATTTTCTTTCCAGGCTTTCTGAGGACAGATTGTCTCCTCAGCGCCGCTTCAGAGATGAGCAGTTCTGGATGGCTATAAAGGTAACTGCATCTTAAAAGATGTCTCAGCTTTTCTGTTTATACCTTTTAAAGGTTTCCTGATTTTTGCCAACATGTTCTATTATGTCTTTGTTAGCTGCTGATGAATATGGGAAAGTGGGATGTGCTGCTTCCTGAGTCCACTTTGAAAGAATTAATGTTGGAGAAACTGTTGAATCGATACCTGATGATCACCCTGTCCAGTCAGACGCTGTCCTGTGAGGTTTCTGCACACAAAAAGGTAAACTATTATCTCTGCAAAGACGAGGTTTAAAGGTGCAATAAGAGTGAATGCGGTGTACTATCCCTATGCAAACTGCGCACAAAAGCGGCCAGCAGTGAGAGCGTTTACTGCTCCGCGCTCACCTTGTGCTTCTAGACACAGCTGAGGTGTTGTTAAACAGCAGCAACACATGGAGAGAGCAGAACAGTGATCGTTGAAGTTGAAACAGGCTGAACTTTTCTGTGAAATCGTTTTGCAGCAACCAATCAGGGACTGGTTTGCGGTTGTGATGTAGGTTAATGAAGCGCACCTGAGGCAAATCTTTTCTCAGTTAAAATGGAATATATAGGGAAAATAATGGCAACAAAGGTAGAAATAAGGAATGCTCTTTAGAGGTTTTTAGGTGGATAAAAAAAAAAAAAAAACATTTTAATTTACTCCTAGAAGCACTGCTCTTCATCCTCACTTACCTCCAGCTCAGACCCAGGTCTGTCACTGCCCAGCATCGGTGCTTTCTGTGGGGGTAGATTTATAAGGAAGCGCCGTAGAATCCGACAAATTATTCAGACCCAGCTCTGGATGAACCAAAGTGGACTCTTTTAAAAATGAATGGTCTCCCCAAACCAATTAAAAAATTGATCATTGGGTTTGTGATGTTAAGTTTTACCTGTGCTTTTATGGTGAAATGGAAGACCTTGACTGGAAATGCCATTGGGTTGCTAGGTGTGGCTTACGAAATATTAAACAATCATCCCAGCCACTAAATAAGGTAAAGATGCCCACCATTCTATTCAATGCCAGCATAGGATTGTGATTTTATGGAGTAACTTTATATCAGGAAACGAGCACAGCACCAACGTCATCACGCAGCAAAATGTCTTCCAGTTTGATGACACTGTCTTGGCTGTAAGCACTGCCTCTGAATGCAGACCACTGAACTCCCCTCTGTGCTGGAAGAAATCACCGTTGACACCGTGTTTGGCCTGAATGCACCTTCATAAGGATCTGTTTGTGACATTAGGGTTTGTTTTTTCATTCAGATTGCAGACTGTCTGCCTGCCTCTTGGTTTGAAGGGGAGAGTATCTGTTTGCCTCAACTGCAGAATTTCAGGAACAACGTTGTCCAGAAGGTTCACAGCCTCTGCAAACAGACGCCTTCCAATGATCCAAGCACCAGGTAATGCAACCACAAACTTTATAGGCCAATTTAATCCCATTCTGCTCACATCAGCTCCATCCCTGCTGATGTGCTTCTTTAAACCTTCTGCTGTAGGTCTGCTGTGGTTGAAGAGCTGAAGATTCTCAGTAGAATAAGATGCTACGACTCCATCATGACTCTAACAACGAAATACCACTTTGAAGACCTCATCTACTCTCATCAGCTGCTGAACCAGGAAGCAGAATGAACTTGTTGAACTGATTAACAGTGATGTGCAGGAAGTGGAGCGCTTACAGCTCTGCAACCAATTCTCACATTTGTTGGGATTTTTTGCTCTCTTTTACAAAGCAGTATATTTTTTATGATTAAATGTTGAAAATTAGTTTTTATATTCAGTGTCTTATAAAGTTTAACTGGTTGGCATTTCATCTCTTTGGGTCGTCTCTTACAGTCTAAATAGTTTAACTTCAAAGAACTTTATTTAGCTACAAAAAAAGCCATTGAGTTTGCAGCTCTCTGGTCAACATAGCAATTAAGAAAAATTAAGACAGAATGCAAACAATGTTATTCAACTACATTCCACAGAGGCTGTTAGTGCAACAGAAATTGAAAACGGCAACATCTTTGACTGCTGGCCAACTGTTGAAAAGCCTTCATGCTCTCATCCCCCTCTCAACAATTGGCCTTAGCTTCTTTATGTAGTTTAGTTAGGAAACCAAGTAGAGTTCAAATGGGTCGTTAGACAATTAATTAGAATTTAAAACAGTGCAGGCCGAGTCCTGGAAAGAAAATGGACTTCTCCAAAACGTTTTTCAGTAGAGCAATGAAGTGGCCTAAAATTAGTGGTTTAATTTTGCAAATATTAAATTTAAAAGGTAAAAAGTGATATCTGCCATACATTTTACTTCCACTTAACTCTCTTTTCATAGTAGTATACAGCTTCTTGAGCAATCACTTTTGGTTTATTTTCAACGACTTTCTATTAGACCAGGGGTTCTTAAAAAGGGGATTAGACCCTGGGGGTCACGAGATGATTCTCAGAATTGTGATTTGATGCCAGAGTCGTACACAAAGCCAAAAATATATGATGTTAAATTAAAACATGAAATAAAAAAAATTTTCAATGCCCTATGAAATACATATTTTAAAATGCATTTTTAATACATATTATATAACAAATTTAATATAACAAATATAACTTGTACATCAAATGATTTTCCCCCCCTAATTTTCAATATTTCTGCATTTAAAAAAAAACTCCCTCTGCTTTGTGTACCAGTTAAAATTCATATCTGAATTTTAGATTTTCTTTAGTGTTATTAACTTACTCTTAAATGATTGAATTTTATTTTGTCCTTCTCAAATGTAGTAACATCAGACTGTAAATGAAAGAACTTCACTACTGGCTCTTGTAGATTCAACTGAAGCTGTATTTGGGTATCATGGATGTTTTTTGACACTGGTGTACGTCACAAATGGCACCTTTTATTTGTTTTCTGCAGATCTGGCTTTATTTGTGAAGCTGATACAAACGTTCAATAAAGTTTAAACTAAGCAAAATATACTTAAAGATGTCCGACAGGTCTTAGGAATTATTCTGAGCTTTGCCTGTCTGAGAAACAGTTAAAGTTATTAAACTAAACGCTGACGGTTTCAATCATCCAGTGCTGTTTGCACAAGTGTGCTGGACTTATTTTACAGAAAAGAAAAGCAGAGTGCAGCTCCTATCCTTCCTTAATGGCTTTAAACCAGAACAGATAAAAACAGTCTTTCTAATGTTCCTAACATTCATCAGGTTAATGTTTAAGCTGTACTTTATTACCTACATCTGCCTAAATATTCCTGACAATCTGGTAAAAGCCTTTTTCATTTATGCAGCAGAGGAATGAATAATGCACAAAAAAAATATTCGTTTTCTCTTTATTATCATTTTCCAGAGGCATGAAGTGTATAAAATGATATCAAGAGTTACTTATTAGCTGTAATCATGTTAGCAGAGAACCATGCAAAACCTATCAACATGCAACAACTCTTTTACTGTCCTGGACTGGGGAACACGGCAACAACTGTGCTCTTTTTCCAATCAAAATCTCAAAGAGCAGAGTTGAGCTTAATGTGGAACTGTTAGGAACTGGAAGAAACAGGATTAATGTGAAAAAGTCACCCCAAAAATCAGAAGTCTTAACTAAAAAGATGTCTATTACAAAGCGGAAACTTTGCTGATCATTGCTTTGCCATTTAGTTTAAACTGGGAAAAGAAAAAAAAAACTGGAATACAACAAAGGAGGAATGGATGTTAGATGACAGAGAACTGGATGCCATGTTTGTTGAGGCGGTCAATGAGGGTGGTTTTGGAGAAAGCAGCTCCGGGAGTATAAACTCCTCCTCTGGGGAAAAAAACGAAAAGTAAAAACAAATTAGACCAAAAAGTAATTCAGGATAAATCATTACATATTTTCATCTCTTACTTCCATCTTAAACTTTCACAGACGAATCTCATAGTTTTGCAACAATTTTTTATTTTTTATTTTTTGAATCCAACTAGACTTTATAAATTGTAGAGGAAAGAAAAAAACATGAGAAAAAGAACTTGAAAAGAAGTTAACTACATCTCGTAAATTGTGTTAGTTTAATTAAGTTTACATGGAAAGTACAAGTAAAGAAATGAATTAAAAAGCTTGTGGTGTGTTGCGTGTTGGATTGGAAACTCACTTCTTGGGCAAAGCTGCAGGTTCGTTGAGGATTGTAAGAGCAGCTTGCACCATGGCAATGGGCGTAGCCACATAGCCAGCCTCTGAAGAGGAAAGACGAGTTTTACTGATTAGAAATAGTTTTAACAATTTTCAAATCTGATTTATACAAGTTTTGCATAACAGTTACCTGGTCCCTGAACTAGAGTGCGGATCTTGGCATTGGGTTTCCCCTGGGTGGGGTCTTGTTCATCTGTGTAACCCTCACCATAGAGGGAGAACTGGAAGGATGAACCCTCCATCTAAAGCACAAGTTTAGCACATTACATATATATATTTGTTTAAATAGGTCCATTTTTTCTCTAATATTTAAACAAACAGGTGTAAATTCTGACATATTTCGTTATTTTACCTGCTTTCTAGTTGGTCCAGCTTTCGAAAAGAAACCAAAGGAGAAGAACTCTGGGTACTGAAGAGAGAAATCAACAAATTAGCTTAAAAAAAAAGTTACATCATGATTAAATTAATCTCCTTTATTTACCTTGATGAGCAGGTTGCGTCCAAAACTGAACTTTACCAAGAACCAGAACATCATGCCAGCAAATATCATCTTGATGATACTCCCAACTCCTCCTACTCCAGCATAGGCTCCATATTGGACCTGGGATTTAAAGGAGATGCAAAATCTTCAATCCATTCAATTTTTAAAAAGAAAATTGTGGTATTTTCCATATTTTATTTTTTTCTTTATATCCAGTGGGTCCATTACTCACTGGTGTGGCTTGATGTTCCTCTACCAGGAAACGCTGGGTTCTTTTCACCACAGAGGGATCAGAACCCATGAAAGGCACTGCATACTGCTGGATCTCATTACTGAAGAACAGCGCACCCCTACAAACACACACAAATATAAAAATGACATTTTAAAATGCTCAGTTCTTTGCAAGATTTAAGGCAAAAACATAAAGCATTTTAACCAACAAAAGACACAATGCCAAAAGTCCTATAAGCCTGAAGTGGCACATTTATGAAACACACCTCTAGATATTTCCACCAGTGCAAATGCTAGAAACTCTTAAATATAGCTCTGGAATCTGACTAAGCCAATTAGACAAATTAAGATGTTTTCATCCAAAACATCATAATTGCTGTATGTTTATGGAGGGAATCACTGTAAGAACTGTGGAGTCTTTTTTCCACAGATAATATTTAATTAGGTGAAATCAAATGTAATGCTGGTTGTACCTGCGCCGCAGCTTTGAGCCGACAGAGGGAAGAGGTTTGTGGTTAAACTTCCGTCTTAGGCTCTGGAGTTTGTGGCCGTCAGCAAAGCCATAGATAGCAGACTGCCAGGTCCCATCATGGATGCACCCACCCTGATAGATGCAGAGAACGGAGGGGGAAAAAAAATGCTGTTAAATGGCAAAACAGACAACACAACAACTGCATAGGGAAAAGGTTACAGATCAACAAGCTGCCTGGGTTTGAAGATACCTCTGGTCCTGCACTGACGGTCAGAAAACTCTCCACAGCTGTTAGAGTACCTGCACCCAAACACATCGACCCCAGATAGACAGGTTAGCGTGATACAAATCTTTTCCAGTTCATTGTATGCATGTGTAATAAAAGTATCAGTATTTATATCCATACAAACCCCTGAACTGATCTCTAGTGTAGAGGACTCCCATGTCTGCAGGAATGGAGTCAAACCCACAGCTTCCAATGACGAAGACTCCTTTCTCTGCTGCCTGCTGGCTGTAGTTCAGCTGCATACCCTCCAAGAACTGTTCAACACACAGAAAATAAAAACTTTTTAAATACGTTGGCCATAGGATAAAATGGATATTGAGCAAATTCACATCAATCAAACTGAACTTAAATGGAGGAAACAATTCGGCTTTAAGCAATCTGTGGTGAAACCATCTGGACGTAATAAGATGACATTTCAGGAAGCAAACAACGGATACTTAATTTAGCATTTGTGTCAGTAAGATATGATGCACACCAGCCAACAGGGATGGAGCAGCTGCCGTCATGGGCCCTAGTTAAAGATAATTTCATCCTAACCAGCTGCAGCATGACAATCAGCATGACTCCAATCTAATCCAAACAAACGACTTTAAAGATGACTGTCCAGAGCTCTGCAGGAGGACGACACCCACACAGGCTGAACTCTCTTCATACACTTTATCAAAAACATGCAGTATTATGTCTGATGTATAAAAGTAGTTTGTATGCAGGATGAAATGAAAGAATGAAATGATAACATCAAGTCCAAACAGAGCATCACACCAACCTGCGGCTCTCCACAGATGTCAATGTGGTGGGCTCCGTTCTCCACGCAGGCTTTGACCACAGGCTCACCAAAGAATCTGTACTAGAAACACAAAGAGAAAGATAGAAGTTGACCATGATCCTTCTTACACCTCTAATAACCCTTTAGTCAGTATATACTAGCTTTCCTTAGACTAGTCCTGAAAGAAATCCACTACATTGAAATGTAGGAATATGTTAAAGCCTTAAGAGTAACAAGGTTTGTGATGCGGTTGAAATTTGAAAGTAAAAAGCACAATCGTGGTTTTATTTCAAAAGAACTTTGACTTTACGACAAACAGAAGAAAACTGGATCTTTAATATTCTCCTCATAGGGAGCAGCTTAGATCAAGAGGTCGGGTAGCATAGAGCTGGATATTTGTTAATATTAGTTGTTGTTTGTTTTGGTTTTTTCAATTTAACCTGTTTTTGACTTTTTAGATTTGAGAAGGTCAAGGTTACTAGTTTACCCCAGGCCATGTAGACCCCTCAGAAATCTGCTAACTTCTTGTTTTCCAGGATCAGATGTAAACTGCTACTCAACTCAGCAATAAACGCCCCCACCGTCTTTAAATGCGCCGACAGGAGCGTCTGATCCAATAATCTGATTAATGAATGTAAGATCTATGACCTGTTTGAAATTACTGACACTGAGGACAAGATTTGATTTAAAATTCAATCTGAAAATCTGATTAGATTTTTCAGGCAATGCTCTTTATCTCTATCCTTGTCTTTCCTTTTCTTTGAACTGAAATTACTTAATATTTCTGTTTATACCTTTAATTTTTTAAAAGACCTTTGAGATGTCACTTATTTTTGAATTGCCCATTAATGAATGAAATGAAGTGAATCCAATTAAACATAAATCGATCTTTCTCTGTTGGAACCAACTGCAGACAATGAACTTTGGCACCTCGCTATCAGAGCTATCTGCAGATGTAGTGATGAAACCTTCAGCTGGGGAAAGTTAATTTTAAGCGCACCGACATCTCTGTAGACGGATACACGTCACTTAAATAACAAACACGGATATCAAGATGCCAACAGGACAAATTAATAATTTACCTTTAACCTGGATCCGTTGATATTACCTAGTTTTAACAGCACAGTGTGTAAGAGAGGAACATCAGCCGCCATTTTAACTTTGGAAAGGTTTTAACATTGTAAGAACTATGCTGACTGACCCTGTTTTATTGAGTCAAAGTAATCTTTTGCTTTAGTGTCTTGCTTTGGTAACCTGTGAAAAATTCCCTGATCCTAATCATCATAGGAGCCAGACGGCTAATTGGGAAGCCTTAACTCAGCATGTCAGCTCCATATGACACAAATATAACATAAAGCTAACTGCTTTCTCAAAGATGTCTACCACCCTTTGCATGATTCATTTCAGCTCATTCCCTTTTTGATGAAGGACAAAACTGTATGGAAAGATCTTTTTACCAACAGGTACTATAATGCTGAACAATAAGGCCCAGAGGTGATCAGTCTTTTTCATATGGATCTACTGATGCTGAAGCATTTTTATCAATGCATGAGTCAGGCTGTATTCATTCATGCCTGCACAACAAATTAACCAGTACTATGGTCCTAGTAAAGAAACCTTTAAAAACTGGTAAATAAATAAATATATATATTATTTATTTATTTTTTTTTACTTGTAGTATTTGAATTATAAAAATGGACACAAGGATCTAATACTTGAAACATAAAAAAGATAAAAAAAATGAGCAAATCTTGTGAGTATTCCCAAGATTTCCCCTATTTTTTTTTACATAAAATGTGAGCTGTACTTGAACAGGTTTGTAAAGGTTGGGCAATTAATTGCATTTGCAATATAATCAAAATTTAACTAAATGCACTTTTCAAAATTGTAGAGGCACTCAGTTTTAGTCAGATTACATTTAACAAGAGTAATGCACTAACATTCTCACTGCAGCCCTTTAGGTGGCAGTAATCCACTTATGGCGGGTTTGTTGCTACACAGAAAGGTAGAGAGAGTTGCAGCTAGCACGCAGATCCATGCATGCAAGTTGAATGTATCCCTTTGTCACACAAAGGTTACAGTAAAATCCTGCAACAACAAACTCTGGACAAGCAAGCTTTCAAGGTCAGGAAAAAAACTGAAACCATGGGGAGAAACGGCAACAAGCTTGTTCTTTGTGCAAAGGCAAATGGAAACAAAATTGCAATACTGGCTAAAAATAATTTAGATTTTTGGCAAAACAGTTCAGCCCTAGTTTGTAGTCAGATGGCTTTTGTTTTTTTGGCTTTTGAGCTCATGGGATTTTCACAGCATCTCATAGGTGATGAACATCTAGAGGCTTTTCTGTTCAGGTTCAGATCAGGTTGGATTAACCTGAAAAGCAAGTTTCAGTCCTGCCAACCAACGTGCCTTGTTCCTGAGAAACCTCAGCCTCTAACGCAAATAACAAAATTATGTTTGTTTGTTTTGTTTTTTCTTCTTTCTGTGATAATCCTGCAAAATGTATGATCATTTTAGAATATAAGCAAGATAAAAAAAAAAAAAAAAAAAAGAAGATTCTGTGACATTTCATTGTCAACGTTTAAATCAGTTGCTTTGTGCAAAACTTTCAGTGAGAGTAGAGAAAAACCTTGGTGTAAAACAAAATACTGTCACAGTAAATACGACTCTGGCTGTTATATAATAAAGTCGATTGTGTGATGAAGACAGCAGCTTTCATTGTCAGCTACGATGCTTTATGCTGCATTCGAGGCGACAGCGAACACAAAGCACGCAAAGCAAGTTGAAGAGCTCAGCTGCTGCCAAAAGGAGATGCCAACATCCACCCGGTGTGAAACAAAGTGATAGCAATAAGTTCTCTGCAAAGAAAACTATTTACTTTGGAATCATCTACTTACGGGCCCCACACAGTTCAAAACAATCACAGCCTGCTTGCACATAGCTGCAAGAGAGTCGGGTTCTCCGACGTCTGCCACAATCACGTCCACCTCCGTCCGAAGCTCAGGCTTACCTGGGAACAGACACATGGACAGTTTTAATTTAGACTATAAAGCAACCATCTGTAGCTTTAGTCAGTACGTCCAGCAAAAGGCCGTTAGCAGAGCGGACGACGTGACGTGAAGCACTGATTATTAAAAAGCAAATCTTTGAAACTTTTCATGATATTAAAAGATTTCTAAGAACTCTGCATAATGTTTGTGGTTCCGATTTATCAGTAAGTATTCCTGCAGTTTTTTTAAAAAACATTATCCCATTTTAAGCAGATATTTTGACTTAATTTTATATTGCAACTGTTTACTTAAAATGAAGAAAAATAAAGTGTGGGAGGGAAAGAACAATACAGTTAGTTTTTTTTTTGCCGAGTTGGGGTGGGGGTTGTAGTGGCTGTTCTTTTGTTTTTTTTGGACAGTAGGCTGACAGGAAAGGGGGTATGAGAGAGGGGGAGAGACATGCAGCAAAGGACCAAAAGCCAGATTCAAATCCGGGTCGGCCACATCTAGGACTAAGGCCTCTGTACATGAGTCGTGTGCTCCAACTACTGCGCCACCAAAGCACGCCCCAAGAACAATACACTTTCAATGTAATCCAGATATTTTTTCCTTTCACTGTAAAAATGCCATGCACAGTTTAACCTCAGCGTATTGTACCCCATTCTATCTGACTTCTATTAAATGTTTGCACTAGGGAGTTACTCAGCTTAAACATCAAGTTGTTGGTTGGTATTAGTCTTGTAAAATTTGTGCATTTTATTTGGAAATTAAGCTTCCAGGTTCTACAGAGGGGAGAGATACAGAATCTGAGTCATTGAAAAGATCTTAGAGCCCTTTATGATTTCCACCATTAATAAGCTGATGAAGATTCTCAGTCATCCAGGTCATTCTATAATAGTTAAAAAAAAAATAATCCAGTGGACTTTGTCTCTAAAGTCCGCTGGATTGTTTTTGAACTTTTTTGGAATCACCATTAATAAACACCTGGCAATGAAGCCCGATATATGACTGCCCCGTTTAATGAGCACATTATCAATGTACTGGACTGGCCAGCAAACTGGGCTCACCTTATCCCTTTGCTTTGGTTTATCGTAAGGCAAAATTTAAGCACCACCAGGGTCCAATAAGGCATATATATATTATATATTAGTTTTTGAAGACTGTGGATAAATCTGCCACACTGCAATAAGGTAGTAATTCATGCAAAAGTACAGAGTGCATATACTTTACAGAACATGAACTTAATTTTTCAGCAGGCCTGCATCTCTTTGTTAAAAGCTTTAAATTTTCTAAGAAATGGAATTGGATTTTTATTAGCTGTAAGTAGGGTTGTCACGATACTAAACTTTTCAACTCGATACCGACACTAAGGAAAATATTCGATA